ATTGAAAGGTAAAAAATAGAAAAAAAAAACAAATAGTTTTCAATGACTTAATTATGATTACCTTTAATGAATTTATTTATCAACATAAAAAACTACATATACAATTGTTTTTACATCAACTAAATAAACAAATTTCATATAATTTTTTTATTCCTATGAACACTAAGTTTTGATCTTATTCTATTTATATTTTCATTTGATGTGAAAAGTATTATGCTTATAAAAAAAGAATCTAATAATTAAAAAAGTCATTTAATTTAAAATTTATAAAAAAAATACTAATGATATTTTAATCGATCATTTGTAATATTTTTTAAATTAAAATTTCATTAAGAATATTTTAATCAATCACTTTTAATGCTTTTTTTTATCTAATTATATAAAAAAAAGTTTAATAATAAATAAAAAATTCATTTAAATTAAACTTTATAAAAACATTTACAATCAATTACTTTTAACACTTGTGGAATTAAAATTTTAAAATTTTAAAATTTTAAATAGTTTAATTTCACATAAAATTTATTTTTAATTTTATTTAATTTAAATTAAACTTAAATAAATTGATAAATATTATATATTTAAAAATAAATTTATTAATTTAAAATTTTATAAAACTTTTTAAATCGATCACTGTTAATATCTTTTAAATTCATATTAGCCCCGCTCCAAACGGGAGCTCCTACCTCTCTGCGAATAAGGATGTATGACATTCGTAATTTCAACCTCCCAACAGATTACAATTGCATCATTCTTTTCTATGTTAGGGAACATATATGCTTCTTCTTCTTCTTCATTCATAACTTAGCTGTATCCTTTGTGGATTTAGCCTATAAAATCTTTTAATAATTATATATAAGATTTCGATGTTTAAATTGAACAATACTATTGAGGTAGTGTTACTTTAATTTTGTAAAAAAAAAAAAAAATTAATCGTAACTTAAAAATGAAGAAAAAAAAAGTAAATATTAATATTTAAATTTAAATTTATTGAATATCTTCTTTAAAAGTGATTATATAAATTAAATTAAATTTCATATTGAATGTTACTTCAATTTGATTGATTGGTAAATATATATTTATGGCTTATAACAGGTTTCAATTATAAAAATTTTCGTTTAATGTTTTCAATAATGACAACTATATACAATTTCTTGAAACGATTAGGCCTTCATGAAGCATCCATATATATATATATATATAGTTCCAATCCGTTTCTCACCTACTCACCGTTTTCAAATTTTTAAATTAATTTTTTGGGTTCCGAATGCCAGTGCCATCTTCTTTTTTTTGTTTCTTATATCAAACAAAAAGCGGCCAAAACATAAATAGATGAATGTAATAACACTCACTGGCTAAGAATGATGAGAGAGGGGAATAGCACATTCCTGTTAAACATTTTTTTCGCCGTGATAATGGGATTTATTGAAAGAAAGTCAGGAGATCAAAAGGTAATTAAGTTTGACTTATATGTTCAAAAAATTGAAATTTACATGTTTCAAAGTGATTGGATGGTGGTCGAGCTTATTACATAATTGGATTTTATAATTTCACAAATAAAATTAAAAAAATTTGATATATATCTTATTTTTTAATTAATTTTTTTTTCATATACCTTACAAATATGTATTATTTTGCCAACATTTTTTTTGTAAAGTTTAAAAAATTTTAGTGACAATGAATAAGAATTTTTAGTACCATGTGTAGGCGAATTATCTGTGAGTTTTTTAAATAAATGATTGATTAGAAATTGGAATGCGACAAGAATCAAGTTTGTTAGATGAATTTCCAGTGTTGAATAATCTTTGATTCATTTTTTCCATTCTTTTCTTGAAAAATCAAGTGTTTCACCTCATGACAAGTTTATTGGTTGCCTAACCATGGCTATGAAACAGTGCTCTCTCTATAGAGATATCTTGTTTTTACTACTATATGATAAGTCTACATTGCTTATTGTGAAGATATTGTGGTTAGAATTGCTTGTTAGCTTCAATTCTCTTATGATCAGTAAAAAAAATCCAAAAACAAAATTATATATTTAATATTTTGTTAACAAATGTTTTAAAAAGAATATTATTATTATAAATAAAATTTTAATTAATTTTAAAAACTGTTTTTAAAACATTCATTAACAAAATCTTATTAGTGATGAACTTGTAGGTTATATAGTATTTTTCTTTATTGGAGAGGAAATCCTTCTAAATATTATAGAAAAACGTTTGCATAAAGGATTGATATTAGAGAGCATCCATATAATTCATTTATCTTTCCCTAAAAAAAAAAAAAAACATACTTTAAATCTTTAAAAAAATGTGGCAGCCAGCAATGACTGTTGATCAGAAAGTAAAAAACAAGGAAAATAACAGTTTGTTGAAAGTGAAATGATCAACTTGACTAGAAGAGGCAATACCAATTACAATATCGTATATAAAAATTGTTTTAAATATAAAGATGTTGTTTATAATTTAAAATTTTCGCCTTTTGCTTTGAGCTTCACCTGCAAAACTTAGCTCTTAATGTAGAGCGTTTGAAATTAAAATTGATGTATTTGTCTAGAATTCGTTGAAAATTTGTAAAAATATATTTTTTTTATAAATTTATTAAATATAATATAAATAAATCTATTTGAATTGGTATGAAAAAGAGATAAATTGAACAAAATTTAACAACGTTTATTATTTTAAAAAATAAAATTATTGCAGCATTTTCTGTCTTTTTTTTTTTTTCTTTTAACCTGTATATCTGAATGGACTAATTAAGGGAATTTCAACATATTACACCAAGTTTTCAGACTATGTAATGGAAAAAGTAAAAGAAACTAACTGCAGTGGCAACATTTTTGTATTTTGATTTTTTTTAAGGAAAGAAGTAAAATTTGGTTGAAGGGACAGTTAGTTATGTGAGCGAAGAGCGAGGAAATGATTATCTTGCAGAGAAGAAATTAATCAATCACCAGCTACGATTGTCATGGTCTAAGGGGAAGGGGGTGGCCCTGTTTCTTCCAAGCATCATTTCAATTGACTTCTTTGCCAATATTTTCCATTGATCAGATTTGCATGCTCCCCTTTGAAATGGTCTGCTCTGCACCTCCTGAAATTTTGCTCTTTGTTCTTCCCATTCCTTATATATTTTAACAGCTGTTTGTTAATATTTTTACTTTGCCATGTTGAATCTTTCAACTATCCCATGTGTCTAGAAGCTATTCAGTCAACCCCCTTTTGCAACTTTCAATTCAAAACAGTAAAAACCAATTTTAACCTTTGATTTAATCTCCATCTCATTTACCTTGTCTTTATATACTATCTTTGATGTTGGAATATCTGATGAGTTTCAAAACTTTAAAATCAAATCAATTACTTTACAAATAGGAGTAATTTTCAACTTGAACAAATTTTATCATCAACATGAAGTTAAATGAAATCCAATGCTTGTTGGAGTAAGTTTCACTTTCTTGCAACCCTTGTTGGCACATAAAACATCAACAGGAGGCCCTTGGCCATTGATAGGGCCTTCACTGCAAACACCAAACTTCAAATATTCTGGGTTGGTCCCGCTGTCACTGGCTGCTACTGTCACCATTGTGACTACTGCCACTGATCGATCCGCACCGTTACCGCCACACCACCATCCCCCTTCCCTTCTATGATCCGTCACTTTGTAACCAGCACCACCATTGCCACAGTTGCCACCACAATGCTGTACCACTTCTGTTTACCATCTAAGTTATGATCACAAGCAAAACCCCATTTCATTTTTATATTCAATTCAAATTTCAAATTAGGTTTGAAACATTGAAACATAATATCACCATTATTTTGAAAAAAAAAGGCTAGTCCTGTCGAACAGAGGAAAATCAAACAGAAATATTGATGGGATGCAAGTTATGCTCAGCAGAACCATAATGCACATGCATTGAAATCTCACTGTCTTTTGTTTTTCACTTGAACTTCTTTAATCTAATCTCCCATGATTACAGAATCTGCCCCAAGAATCAAAAAAAATATCCTAATAGTAATAGTCCAAATTGAAAACCATTGGATGTGGAGGACATCTTGGCTACAATTCACAACCCACCAGCCCCAAGTTGGTCCTGTCCAACTTATGATTGCCAACCATAATCAAATTTTCAAATCCTGTGAGAATCGTACCAACAATCTTCTAGATTAATGACTGTTTAACTTATCCTAATTGGAATTAATTTTAGGTGTGAAGTTCATTAAGAATATATATATATATATGTGTGTGTGTGTATGTGTCTATATATATATATATATATATATATGTATATTACTAATTATATACACCAATGATGTGTTTTAGTTTCTGTTAAGACGGACAGGATGACGTTCCAATGAGGTGTTGAAGTAAATGTCCCACTTAAATTCTTTTTTTGGCCTTCTTCACTTCTGAAACTTAATTCTTCTCGTGTATATGAATATGACTTCTTCATTGAACAAAAGGAATATACATATATAGAGAGAGTTACAAACGTCTCACCATCTCTCTCTTTCTCGCTTTCAGTATTGTTGAATTCTGAATAAGTCCCGAACTTCTTGCTCATCTTCCGCTTAGCCCTTCATAGAACAAATACAGAGATTCAAACAACTAATTTCACGCAAGTGGATAAGAACTCTCTTATTCTTAATCCACTCCAAAATTTATGGGAAAATTCCTCCACAAAAACCTAATCTCTTTTTAGATAAGAGAGTGAATTTATCACTAAATCTGGGCCTAATCTCTCAAAACCACCCCCCCCCCTCCTACAACAACTTACACCACATTTTTTTCCCGTTAATATAAAATGGTTTCTCTTCAGTTTTGCTTTTTCTCTTGAGCTCGACTACCAGTTTTCGCTCTTTTAGATGCTTCTTTTTTTCCTTGGAAAGTACATCTCAAAACCTCAACCTCAAAATTAAGCTACCTATAGGCTGTAGCTATTTAGTTGTATAGCTAACAAAAGGATATAGTGGTATAAAAAGATTGTCTCAAATAGCGCTCTGTTCATGGACTGTTTGAGAGAAATAGAAGGAAAACAAGCTCATGATCCTATATTCATTGAGAAGATGAATAAGTCGTCGTCGTACTCGTCCTCACGTTGCTTATGCGTTCCAGGGCCACTTATCGTTGGTGCAGGGCCTTCGGGTCTAGCCACAGCCGCTTGTCTGAAAGAGAAAGGTGTCCCAAGTGTAGTACTAGAGAGATCTAACTGCATAGCACCTTTGTGGCAACTCAAGACCTATGATCGGCTACGCCTTCACTTGCCAAAGCAATTTTGCGAACTTCCACTGATGGGTTTCCCGAGTGATTGCCCTACTTACCCTAATAAACAACAATTCGTGGACTACTTGGAAGCATATGCTAGGAAGTTTCATATTAAGCCACGGTTCAATGAGACGGTTTCACAAGCTGAGTACGATGCCACGCTCGGGTTTTGGCGCGTGAGAAGTGTAGGGTTAAAGGGGAAGGCGATGGAATATGTGTGCCGGTGGCTGGTGGTGGCGACAGGAGAGAATGCGGAGGCGGTGGTGCCGGAGATTGAAGGAATAGGAGAATTTGGTGGGGACATTAGGCATACAAGTTTATATAAAAGTGGAGAAGAGTTCAGAGGAAAAAGGGTGTTGGTGGTGGGGTGTGGGAATTCAGGGATGGAGGTGTGTTTGGATCTATGCAATCATAATGCTAGGCCTTCACTTGTGGTCAGAGATACAGTAAGAACTCCAAACCATGGCGCCTCTTTCTTTTTTCTCCTTTCCTTTTTTCTTTTTTTTTTCTCCTCTTTTTCTCTAAACATTAAAGAAATACATAATCACCAGCAATTGGATTTTTATTTAATTCTTTGGATTATTTTATGATAAAGGTCATGGGAAGAAAAAAAGGGTTTCTCAAGCTGTCCCGTCAGGTTTTAGAATTCTTGATTTCGTAAGGAAAAAGGCGGTTTTTGAGTGAACAGGTTTTTGAATTTTAGGTTTTTTCTCAAATTTCATTATACATAGCCAAAAACCTAAATGGAGTTCAGAATCTTTTTCCAATTTATTAAAGTAACTATAGTCAAATAAAACATTAAAAAAAAAAAGGAATCATAAGCAAAACAAGCTATCTATTTCCATATCATTGACATTTACTTCATTCATGGAATTGCCACATTTTGTGGCTTCAAGTTCCAAAGGTTTATTCGATTAAAACCGATCAAAGCAATTTACTACTAAATATTAGGTCGAAAAAAAGATCTTCACTTTCTTGGAATTCACAATGCGCAACATCGATCGTTAAAAAACTTGGGATCTTGGGATCTTGTATATGTTGTCGTAATCATGAATCTCCGCCCTTTTTTCCCTTATGATTAATTTTTCCTCTGTAAAGACCGAAAAACCTAACTCCAAAAAAATGGAGGGATGGACATAATTATAGCCTATACTACACAACAAGCGGGATCATCCCGTTAACTCTATCTTTTATGCGTCCTTTCTTTTTAGTCCATTGAACTTTTGGGTTTTTGGAACTGAAGGTGCATGTCCTTCCACGAGAGATGCTGGGAAGATCAACTTTCGGGTTGTCCATGTGGCTGCTTAAGTGGCTGCCTTTGAGGCTTGTCGACCGCTTCTTGCTGATTGTATCCTGGTTGATGCTCGGTGATACTGCTCGCTTTGGATTGGACCGACCGTGGTTGGGTCCCCTTGAACTCAAGAATCTGTCTGGAAAGACCCCCGTCTTGGATGTTGGCACGCTTGCCAAAATCAAAAGTGGAGACATCAAGGTATTTGCCTTTCGTCAATGAAATCACATCACTTTTCCATTAGCAACTAACGAACTAATGTATGATTGATCCTATAGTACTGTGTTTCAACAATCCTACGACATGCTTTTTTTCTTTTTGCCACAAGCTCGTTGTTTCGCAATAATTCCCCTCCATTTTGATCTTTTCATACATTCCAAAAATTGCAAACTTTTCCTATAAAAAAGTTTGGCATTGGGGCTTATGATGGAGTTCATAATCACTAGGAGTTTTAATCATACTTCTTTTGAACTTCGTTGGGAAGTTCTTATTGAAGTTTGTTATTTTCTTGCCCAATTCTAATTAATAGTAACTGTTAAATTTTTAATATAAATTTCGAAATTATTAATTTGGAAAAATGTTGGTACTGTAGGTATTTCCAAGCATGAAGCGCCTAAAACGTCACGCTGTGGAGTTTGTCAATGGCAAAACTGAGAACTTTGATGCAATCATCTTAGCAACTGGTTATAAAAGCAATGTACCCTCTTGGCTAAAGGTATGCCCTTTATCTTTCTTTCCCTTTCCTTCTTTTACTACTTTTTTTTTTTTTTTCAAATCAAAATTTCCACAACTTGATGTGAAAAAGGCTAAAAGAAAAGAGCAATTTGAAATCTTCAGGAAAAACAGATGTTCTCAGAGAAAGATGGGTACCCTCGAAGGCCATTCCCTAATGGGTGTAAAGGTGAATGTGGGCTATACGCCGTAGGGTTCACTAAACGTGGATTGCTAGGTACATCAATGGATGCTAAGAGGATAGCAGAAGACATTGAACGGTACTGTTGGAAAGAGGGGGCACAACATCATATGGCCTTCACTTGTTCACTTTTGCAGCAATCATCATCACCATGATTTTTTTTTCTTCTCTTTTTTGGCTTTTAATTTGAATTAAATCAGAGATATGCAGATTTTTGGTTGAAGAAGATACCACGTCTACTACACATGCATGCGCAGCAGCGGATTTTTGATATTGTATTGCCTCCTCCAATTAATGAGGAGGAGAGGGGAAAAAGAGGGTAAAACAAAAATAAAAAATAAAATATGGAGAGAATTGTGTCAATGAAACCATTCTTTTTCAAGATGACACCAGAGTCAGCTGCCAGGGCTTGGGAAGGAGGAAGAAAGAATTTCAATTTCAAAGTGTTAGAAAAGGGTTGGTGTTGTTTGGATTCCTCAGACTCTCTGTACACCTTTTTACATTACCATTTTCTCTAATGAGGTATGACTTTTTTTTTTTTGGTAATTTGAGAGAGAGAAAAAGAGATTTAGAAAAAGAGCAAGGTGCTATAGGGTTTGTTTGCAAAGCGATATGATTGTGTTTTTTAACCTATATTTTCCGTGGGGATTGGGAACAGGAATGAGATCGATCCATTGGAGATTGAGAGTTATAACAACCTCACCAGATCCCTGGCAGCTTCAGTACAGTTTTCTTTCATCGTAGGCCTTTTTTCTTTCTTTTCTTTTCTTTTTTTTTTTTTTTTTGGCTGGGTTTGAGAATTGAGACATTGAAGAGATGGCTTTATATAAATGAAGTCTTCACTTGTAGAGTGAAGTGATGACTTATTCTTTTACTTTTTTGTTTTTGTGTTTGTTACGGCGATCAATGCTTCATACCAAACACTGTTTGGAAGGGATAGAATCTAAATCGTGTTTTTTATTCTTTTCTACAGGTAATATCGGGATCAAAATGATTTCAAAGTTCAAGAATTGAATTAGATATAATAATTTAAAATATGTGATACGATATGAATATAATATTAAAATATAATAAAAATATAATATAATTTAAAATTATAATAATAATTATATATAAAATTTAATAAAATAAAAAATTATATTTTATATATTTTATTGACACAAATTATAATATATAATTTTCGTATAAAATATAATATAAATACATAAATTTTAATATTTTATATAAAATAAATACATAAATTATCATATTTATTTGGACCACAACTTTTGAGTAGAAGTTAAACTTGTTCATTTAAATATGAACAGAATCTTATTAATTGCTAAGCAATAGCAATTGTTATATTTCCTCGTTGGATATGCTGTAAAACATTTAATTCAATTTATGGTTAATTTGGACTGATATATTCTTAGAGCAATTATTTCATTTATCTTCGGTAGACTTTTTAAATTTCATAAGTGAAATTAATAATAAGATGACACATGTATATATTTAAAACAATAAAAAATCTAATTAATAAAAATAAAAATAAAATCTAATTAATAAAAATAAACATGTATCAATTTTTTAATTTAAAAATTAAAAATTTACACTAATAATATATTAAATATTAACTCTATATTCTTGATAATTTCCATTTCATTCATTCACTATTGTTAACATCAAATTCCAAGTACTTAATTCATTTATTCTTCTCTAAAAAAATTTCATTTATTATGATAGAAACCAAGTTGAAGCTTCCATTTTCAAGTCAATGTAACATTTAGCATCATTACTCTAAATAAAGAGTATTATTTTATATATAACATTGACTTTTAAAAATAAAGAGTATTATTTTATATATAACATTGGAAAATAAAAGGGGTAATTAAAACCGCTAAACAAAATTCTTTAAGTGAACTTCCTGAAATTTACTATTAAAAATGATTAAATAATTTTTTAAGAAAAAATTTACATTGATAAATTAAAAGAGTTCAATGATAAAATTAATAATATGGAAAATTATTAAAAATATTATTTATAATTTAAATTTAATTAGTACTTATCTAATAATAAAAATTTTATCAAAATATTTAATAAAAAACTTATTTAAAATATATGAAAACTTATTAAATTTTATTTAAATTTACACTTATCAAAAAAATATTTAAAATATTGTTTATATAACTAGATCTTTTAATTTAATTATTTTTAATAAAAATTCATAAATTAGCCTAAAAATTTAGTAAAGTCTTTCTCTTGCTGAAAATGAGCAGACAGATGAGATATTATGATATCCCACACCCCCAAGATTTTTTAATCTGAATGTTACATAAAGCTTCCACACCATAACAAGGAAAAAGGGTCGAACTGTATTTGTCTGTAACCAATGTTTGTCATCTGGAAAAGTCGAGCTGTTTTGACAATTCAGTTTGCTTGATATATATACCCTCTCATAAAGTTCGTCAAAATAATAGTAAAAAAAATTTATATATCCAAAGGAAAAAAAAAAAACAACATTCAAATCTCTTAAAATTAAATTATTTTGTAGGTGACTCTGATAACTATTTGTAAATCTCAGTTGAATTTATTTATTTATTTATTCTTATTCTTAAAAAAAAAAAAAATTATAAAGTCTTGTAAACAAATTGATACTGTAAAATCATACTATAAAAAGTAAAAATCGGTATTTTATCAATTATTTAGTTTAAAGCATTAAGAAACTATAATTGTACCGGAAGCTTTCTTCTTTTTTTTTATAGAAAATTAGTTTTAAGCCCAAGTGATATATGGGTATGTAAATTATATATAATTAATTATATTATATTAATAATTTTTAATATAAAGTTAGAGAAAAATAAATATTAGAGATAAATATATAGCTATAATAAAATTTAAAAAATATGCTTTTGTATCATGTACCATTCAATACTGATAAATGGAGTTATTTTTTAATCTTAGTTCTTTAACTAAAACACTTTGAGACTTTATTCCCAAATACATGTACTGTTAATTAAATTAAGCGCCACATCAATATTTTATTACGCGTTAGCTTCTTCTTCCCTCACTTTTCTCCTCCTCTCTCCCTTGCAAAGTTGTGTTTGCAAGCTTGCAACAACATTTGATGTATTTTTTAAAATTTTTAAGGAAAAACTTTCTCAAAATCTCAAAATTTTATCAAATTATAATAAATAAATAAATCATAGTTTCAACCAATTCATACATAGAATCATATTTCTTCTCTCAATAATAGAATGGATCTTTCTCAAATATGGAGAATTATTGACGTATAGTGGAAATGAAATTAAGATCGATTAGTGTAATGGTAAAACAAAATCCAATGGTAATGATTTTACTAGCCAAGTGTAATGGATTTTAAGTTAGATTTCTGATTTTTAACCTTAAAAAATTAAAGCTGTGCAAAGTGGGATTAAAGCCAGATAAACCAGATCCATTTTATGATTGGATAAAGCCATGGTGAAATCGTATATACTATTCAAGGCATACCCATTTGCAGAGCTTCTTTCAATTTGAAGAAACCCAAGCAAACAAACGCATATAATGGGAGTGGGGGGAGGGGGGGGGTTAAGTTTCAGTTCGTTTTCTAAATAAAAAATGGGTTTGTTATCAAGCAATAGTGTAATTTTTGGGTAAAAAATATTATATTAAGCCATCTTTGATTGTCATTGCTTGGTTGAATATAGCATCCTGAATTTGTTGCTGATTTATATTTTCAGTCAATTTGCTTGCTGAACTGTAGTTTTTAGTGGTAATATCAGTTTATTTGAGTGATTTGTTGAATTGGCTTTAGATAATTGGAGTGTGAAGGCTATTAGAAGAAAGACTACTGGGACTGGCCACATGAGGTACCTTCGTCTTGTGCCCCGAAGGTTTAAGACTGGATTTAGAGAAGGTACTTCACTATTTCTTATTTGGTTAATGTTAGGAGTGACCTTTGAACTATAATCAAATGTTTACTATGATACTTGAATTTTAAAAATCTCTAATATGATGTCTCAGTTATGAATTTTTTAACTAATGTGATAGTTGAAGTGCTGGATGTTTGTCACATGTCATAATTTGGAGCTAACCACATTAGGGATGAATATTATATTAATTAACAGAGTTATAGATCTTTAAAATTTAGATATCACATTAAATATTTCACTGTAATTTAAGGACTATACATAATATTAACCTTTCTTATTGAATCATATGTTGATTGAAATGAAAACACGTTTGATCGATAATTTATAGTAATGGGATACTCTTGAATTGTTATCAGGTACTCAAGCAACACCAAGGAAGAAGGCAGCTGTTGCTGCTTCATAAATTTTTTGCAGTGTTTTGTCTTGAGATTCCTGAATTTTCAAATGAGAAGTTGAAGTTTTGTGTTTTTATCAACTGTGTTTACTTTTATTTTTCAAGCAATATCTACAAACAGGAAGTTTTGCTTTATTAAGAATCTTCACAACTTTATTTTGATTATCGAGCACGATTTACTTCATCGATCTCTTTGTGCCATGTGAGATAGTGATATGCCATACATAGATGATCTTATATTGCTCAAATTTTTGGTCTCTTAATCAACAGTTTTGGGTAGCAACCCCATCAAAATGTAGGAGCATCAGAACATCAATTGGTTTTTTTGCATGGTACACGAAGTTTCTCTAGCCAGAGCTTGAACTAGCATGTATGGTTGTGTCCCTTTTGTTTCCTAAATGCTGGAAAATGGAAATGCTGGTAGTTGCAAAGGCATTGAACGCTACCTTTCCTTTCCCATCGTAATTTGCACGGCAATGTGGGAAGTAATCTATAATTACTGTATTACAATTAACCAATTGTAATGTAGCATTGTGTAAGGTTTATAAATTATTTATGTAAAGCTTACACTTCTAAACGGGGAACCCTAACATAAATTTTTTGTTATGATTGATTAGTTGCAAGATTGTAGTAAAGAAAACTGTTTGTAGGTGAAATGCTGTGGGACATGTAATCATAAAAATACATGGAAAGGGATATTGTCTCGGCACATATCATTTTAGCCTAATTCTGGCATGCTTAATTCCCATGGACGGCCTCACAATGGGGGAATGTATCTACAATTATTTTTAATATAATATTAAAATTATCCTATCAAAATAAAAATTTATATAGAGATCCCTCACTTACAAATGAAAAGTGAATTTCATATAAATTTTAATAAATTTCATATAATTTTAAATTATAATTGATTAATTGTATTGCAATTATTTATGGATAAGCCTCTCCAGCTTCTGATTCTCGTTTATCTTGGCCAATGGCTGGCTCAAGCAGCATTATTATCTCGTACATATTTAACTTTCCTGTGTAGAGGTTAAATATCGGCCCTTTCTTTTTCCATTTAATATCCAGCCCAAGTGCAGCTCAAGTTCAACATTTGGCCTATCAAACCGAGAAGATATCCATAGCTGATGAAATCCTGATACTCTGGCTAGCTTTTGGTGCTTTGATAGCATTCCTTTATATGTGTAGTTAACTAATACTAGACAACTCAGCCACGAAAGGAATCGTTGCCAATGTAAAAATAAATAACGTTCAAAAATCCACTATATTAACAACATACAAAAACTTGGTTCTTGCACTCTCTTCCCTTTCAGTGTTTCAGCCAATAATTCCGTAGCTGAGCCATATGCAATAATATCTCATCACGGCCTTGATTTGTAACACTGCTGGTCATGATCCATGGGGGCACAGTCTGGAAGAAGCCACGTATCAGCTTCTGAAAGTCACTCACGTTTTCTTCAGGCCTTTTTCCTCCATTCTTTTTCTTCTTCCTCTTGTCGCATTTGGTGAATATTAGTGTCATGGGGATCTGAAGACAACAAATTAAAGGGTTAGGAGGAAAACAGTTAACATGCTTCATGAAAATTCAGAGTGAAATATACAGAAGTCAATACTAAGGATCACTGGGCTTTTGTTGCCTGCTGTCTAGAGAAGATGGTATAAGTGACAGATTCATCTCCTTATACTTTTCACTTTCCATTTTAGAAGTGGAAGAAGTTACCTGGTTCTGACCAAGCCAACTAGCATATTCGAGGTCGATTTTCTTTGCAGGAATGCTAGCATCAATAAGCAGGAAAACTGAGACTAATGTTGAACGGTTGATAAAATAGTCTTTGGTAAACTTGCTCCAGTCTGTCCGAAGTTCCTGAGGAGCAGCTGCATACCTGTTCAAAAGGTGTAATAGAACTGTACACTTGTGCAAGTGCCAAATGCATAGTCAACTCTTATAGTTGAGCTATATGAATATAATAATAGCATAAATGTTGGAAACAACATAATCTAAATTTTTGGGTTTGGTTGTTGGATGTTAGATAGGGCTGATTCCACACAATATGCTAGCTTCATTTCCCCCTTTGCCCTTCTTAAGCTTCGTTCAAAAGTTATACTAGTTTACAATTGAACAAATTCTATGAAAGTTAAGACAAAAATCAACTCATGGCAATATTTGATCAAGTATGGAATCACATGTGAATTCCTAAACAGCTAAAACAGTGAACTAACATACACAAACTTAAAGGAACATCTAATGACGGCAAATCACGCATTATTAAAGACATAGTACGACATTCTGATTAAAATATAAAGAAAATCCTCTTGCCAGCCACATTGGTCCATGAAAATTTCAGGGAAAATGACATAATTTAATAACTGAGGGTCATATTAATTTGGATTCAATGGAGGACAACCAAAACAGAGGTTAAAAGAGAACTCGGCCATAGATACTTATATTAGTATCGACTTGGACAGAAAAAGGGACGTAATATACTCGGTATTAATTTGTTTAGTACCTTTTGTATCTTACATTATTTGGGCCATAATTGAAAAGAAACATAAGCCCATAAAAAAGTCATGATTATATATCAGTATATTGATCCCTCACCGTTTAAAATTTGGAAAAACTGATTTAACAAAGCCCTAGTCCCAAAGTAATCATTTGACAAGGGACCATGAATTCTTTTTCTCCAGGACAGTGAAATAACCTTGATGAATGTAAGTATCCAATCTTCCAGCAATAGGAAAATCAGATATTATACAAGCAGCAGAAGTCACCTAGTATTTGTTTCAAATAAGCTTGTTGCCATTCATACAAGGTCTAAATAAAAAACAGACAATGAGGGAAGCGATTAAAGATAAAGCATACCCATATCCTGGCAAATCCACCAGGTACCAACTATCATTGATGCGGAAATGGTTGATGCATTGCGTCTTCCCTGCAAGGATGAAAGCATTACCGGGTAATATGCACCTAATAGCAGACTTTGAAACTACAATTTTCTTGATTCTAGTGTCTCTCCCAAATTTAATAAATTGACAATAACAAAATGCAAATATCTTGCTTTGAAGCAGATATTTCAAGTTTGGAAGATTCTCTCAGAGTAAACATTCCGGTATCCTAAATCAAGATATCAGTATCCCAGCTCTACCATTAACATATTTTGCTTTATAAACCAGCCTCACATTAAACCCTCACTTACCAGGTTTCTTAGACGTGAGTGCAAGGCGCTTCCTTCTGACAAGCGAATTAAGAAGAGAGGATTTCCCCACATTAGACCGACCAACAAGCGCAAACTCAGGCAATCCATCAGAAGGACAATCCTCAGTTCTCACACTACTCTTCACAAACTCAGCCTGAACCACTTGAGCCTCCCTTGCATACTTACTCACCACTATATTCGACCCTTTCAAGATTCTTGTGCTTAAGTTAGGATCATCAAAAGAAACCTCTGTCTCTGGAGGAACAAACAACTTGTCCAATGAAATCTCGAGCAGTGGCTCTTGGGGCAGTGACAAATCAGTGATGGGTATTGGCTCTGTTGTGGAAAGAGTCGATTTTGCAGCAGCGAAGAGTGTTGGGACAGTGAATTTGATGGGTAGTTTTGGTTTAGGGTAAAAATCAGAACTTGACGGCGGCTTTTTAAGGACAAGAAAATGAAATCTTGGTAGCTGAGTTAGAGCCATAATTACTCTCTTCCAACCAAAGGGTGGATTGTTCAACTCCGTTCTTCTTTGTACAATACTGGGGAAAGCCGCAAAGGCAGCAAGAGAAAACTCTTGGCTGATATTCTTTGAGTACAACGCACCGTTTTGGGTTAGTAACATTTTTAACATGGACGTTTAAGGGAACGGTGCCGTTTCTCTTATAAACAGAGACGTTTTAAACATGTCATCAACGTTAACCATCAACTCCAATCCAACACACTCTGCGCTTTGTTGGGTCTTTAGTTTAAGCTGACAACGAATTCCTCTAGCCACCAGCCATGGCTCTGACGGATCAGTCCCAACGGTCACCCTCACCGTCTTAACCTTCCGGGTAATTCTATTATATCCCGTAATCCCCAGGCCGCAACCCTTCAATTTTGGCAGCAATCTTTACTCTGTGTTTTTTGTTTTCATCAGTTTAAATTCTGATTTAATTTTTATACTCCTTTTATGCTACTCTAATTGAACGTGCTAATTTTATTAACAGTAAAAATGAAGTCTCCGATTTGAAATTCCAGCTCCGGAAACTCGCCGGCAGCCGAGCACCTGGCCTTGACGATTCGAAGCGAGAGCTCTTCAAGAAAGTGGTCTCCTACATGACGATCGGAATCGACGTTTATGGTGATGTGCAAGGCCACATCAGACATCGTTTTGAAGAAAATGTGTTATCTCTACGTCGGTAATTACGCGAAATTCAACCCCGATCTCGCTCTCTTCACGATCAATTTCCTCCAAAGGGATTGCCACGATGAAGATCCAATGATCCGAGGGATAGCCTTGCGCAGCTTATGCTTGTTACGTGTCGCAGATCTGGTGGAGTATTTGGCTAGACCTGTTAGGGTCCGGATTGAAAGATAGTAATAGTTACGTGAGAATGGTGGCGGTTATTGGAGTTTTAAAGCTTTCTCATTTCTCAGCTTCCACTTATGTCAATGCGAATTTTCCTTCGATATTGAAGCATTTGATGCTCAATGACTCTGATACTCAAGTGAGAGCTAGTTAAGAGGCTTGAATTGATTGTCAATTGTTTTTGTTCGTTAAATTAACTTGCAAATTAATGAGTTATTTGTTTCATTAGCTGGTTGCAAACGGTTTGTTTGCTTTACAGGAGATTTGGAGCGCGGTAGCTAGCACATCTGAAGTGGCATCCAGGGAAAGGGAAGCTTTGATTAGCAAGCCTGTTATATATTACCTATTGAATCGGTATGTTCTATAGTTAAAACTTGAAGAATCAATGGGAAATTTCAATTTTTAACATCTTGTGGTGATTATGCTGTCATTTATCTGAAGTTCAATTCTTAATCATGCTGTATAACTAAGACAAAGTGCTATGATGTTATTTTAAATGAATGTTTTCCAATGTGTTTTTCATATGTAGGATCAAGGAATTTAGTGATAATTGATTAAACATGAAAGTATTACATCTTATCCCCAGAGCTTTTAGGATAAAACCTGTCCCTTTCCTTGAAAACTAAACAATGTACTTTTCTTTAATTTTTTCAGCAGCCTTAATTGCTACCTCATTATTAGTGAGTATTTGAACAATGTATTTTTCTCCAATTTCTTTTACAGCTTCATCCAATAATTTGTAGTAAAATTTGGCATCTCTAATACAAACACTTGAGACATCCACAAATTTCCAAAAATTGGTCCTTCTAATGTAATAGATAAGGAAATTAATCATGTGCATTTGATTTAAGCCATTGTTCTGACCATCGCACGTTAAGGTTGCACCTAGTTATTCCAATGAGCTTTTAATCTATTAATTCATTCATGAACTTGTTGATAATCTAACTTTAAATACACATATGAAACCTCATAAAAAGTTGGAAGCTTTACATGTTACCCAACTTCTACTGCCACATAAACTAAATTAATCAATCAGGTGAGTTTGCTAACTGAAAAGGAAGTCAATCATATATCAAAATTTATATGCTAATTCACTTATCTTCCTTCTTAATATCTTTAAAAAAAGTTATTTATCTTTCGTTGCTTTGAACTTTTACTTCTAACCAATTCAGGCGTAGCTCTCTTTAATGAAAATTCAAAGGAGGTAATTTTCATGTTCTTTCATCATAATCTTCAACAACTAAGCCATAAAAGCACCATTCTTCTTCATAAATGTTACTTCAACCACTAGTTCTTTGTCTAAATTCTTACCTCTAATGCTACTTATGTTATGATTGGATATTATTTCGCATAGCTTCATCTTCATCAATGAAACTTTCATAGTAATAATAATCTTCCCATCTTAATTGAGATAAGAATTCATCTTTTCTCTTTTTATTATTTTTCTTTTATTTGTTTTCTTTGAGGAGTTTAATCCTACTTTCTCTAACAGTGCCTATTAATAACATAGTTAAGAAAAAGAAAACAAAATAGTATTACACATTTACGTAATTTAATAATTTTTATTGAGAAATTAACAATAATATTTTCAAACTGAAATATAAAATATAACATACTAGTAACATGGAGTATGATACACGAACATTGTAAAAGGGAATAACATGTTTCAAGCAGCATGTTGCTCATAAAAGGGCAATGGCGCACCATGCCTCAATGTTGTCTTTTCCAAATAGAAATGTTGTCTTTTCTCCATTAATTTTTTTTATATAGTTTTATATAGTTTTATATTGGGTTATATCCTTTCTTTTCTCATCCTCCGCCCTTTCCAAATATAAAACTATAACTTTGAACTTGCTTCTGCAACTGTAATTAAATGCATGTTTTTTTTTTCAATTTTCACTAGTATTTCAGAATACATTTGCCCTAACAGCATACTGCTTGTAGGTACCTTGCTCCAGAGTACACATTGATGGATAAATTAACAGATAAATTAGATGTATATTCCTATGGCTTTATGCTTTTAGAGCTTATTACCGAACGCCCACCAGTCATCAAGAGGGAATCATCCATAAATGAGAGCCTGTTGGACTGGGTATGCATTATTTGTATTAATTGATATCATCTCCCAAATGATGGAAAACCAAGTTACTTTACTAAAATGGTTCTGGATTATCTTCTCTGCAAAGTGCTTGTTGTGGTTCCTCTCCCCTTTTAGACCAAACTTTTGCCTTTGAAGCTTGGACTCAAATTGTTACTTCAATCCCAATTGCAAATTGTCAAAGACTAAATTGTGGTTACCCAGCTTTATGTTATGACTGTGAATAGTTGGTAAATAGAATTCTGTTATATTTTTTTGGGGTGTTTAATAATTAAGAAAAGTTTACTCTGTTGGCTCAATATAGAGGCCTTCGCTAGCTCGGGCACCGGTAGATTTTGATATTGATGCTCTTGCTGATCCATGGTTTCACAAGGCATACAACAAGAGCCAGATTGCAAGCATGGACGCTTGTGCTGCTCTGATTGTGTACCCCAGTCAGCATGGCTTAGACCTTGGATGATCCAGGTATCTCCCAGTTCCTTCCTTACTTGTTTGATCTTTCCTCTCCCTTTTGGTGGAATGGAGCTGTGTAAACTTACATGCAATTAAGGAGATTCGAAACTAAGGTTTTCGTTGCTGGAAATGGTTTTTATTTGTTTATTTTAAAGTAAAATTTGTACCAGTTGCTATGAACATAGTAAAAACCAAGATTCTCTCAATTAGTCCCAAAAACAATGCAGATAGTTCGTGCCCTAGAAGGAGACATTTCTCTCTCGTATCTTTGATGAAGGAACGAGGTCTCGCAACAGCTCCACCCACACTTCTTCAGAAACTTCGATTCAAAATACTCGACAATATAAGAAAATGAAAAACAATATGGCATTGACCAGTAAGAGCTATGGCATCAGTGGATACAACAAAAACCACTAGTGAATATAGTCTTAACCCATCTGAAGAACAAACTGAGGAAAAGATGACAAAAGATATAACCAAGAACCAGGGTTCAGAAAGCTGAGAGAATATTTGGTACTCTATGCGCCCGGCCTTTTATAGATTTTAATTGGTTATTTATCTAAGCATCCCTCTTCCATTTGTCCTTCTTGGCTTTTTAAAAAAAAAAAAAGACCACAAAGACGTTACAAATTCTGAAATTTAAACTCAAAAGATTTTTTTTCTTCGAATGTGGTACAGGAATTATACATTTATCTATCCTAGAAAGTTGATATAAAAAAGTCGGGCATTATGTTAAGCCTCGCAACTAAATTTCTACAGCATGTTTGCTACGCAATTATAATCTTCCTTAATGCATCAATGACAAGTAAACTGATAAAACACTGAATAGTTTTATCACATGCATTGTAGGCTAAAATTTTTTGTTGTATGATTATAAACACAGGAATGGAATTCATGTTGTATGAGACTGAGATTTAGTACACTGAGGTCAGTGAATGTCTTGCTGCTAGTCCAAGACTAGAAAGTAAGCATGCCGAAATGGAACCAGGCAAGAGCAACAAAACCCAATTAATATCTCACTAGCAAAGAGAATTATCAAAATCTTTTATCATGTGGATAGAGAATAACAATGATCACCGACTTTCCTCATATCCAAAGGGGTAAAAAAAACCTGAAAGCTAGCCAAAGCCCTGCTATCAAAACCATAAACTTTTGCATTCTCAGTAATGTATAATCTTTTACCATGTATTTGCACTATGATGCCAAGTACTTCAATGCATGAACATTCAAATTCAATCATTCATCCATCCTGATCACTTTTCTGCTTTGAAGCCATCAAAGAATTCAGCCATTGCTTCCAAGGAGCATCCTCTTGTTGCTCAATCCAAGACAAGAAACAGCTATCCAACAAGCAGAAGAAGTTAACGTATAGAAGTTGGTACCTCACTGGTATATATCGAAAATTTGCAACTTGAAGAACTGGCCATAGACCTCCTTCAAGAATTAAGGCAGGGACAAAATCCCTCTTTACATCTTTCTTGATTTGGGGGACATTCTTTCCAGCAGAAAATCCCATGTAAGTAAAAAACACAAGTAAATCCAATGGCCCAAAGATGAACCCATCAATTGCAACTTTGGTAGCCACAAAACGAAAAGAATTTGGTTGTAGACGAAGTCGCAACCTTATATATCGGTCCAAACCTTCATACCTACAAAAGTTACTCAAAAATTAGAGTTTACAACAAAAGTTTTGCAGATACATAAACATATGCACGGTGAAATTAGGAATTGAATGTTCTTTTATCTGTATCTATCTTGACCGTACAACTTTAACCATGGGAGAACTCCTTGACCTCCAAGTTCAGCAGCCAATCCAAAAATAAGAAAAAGAGGCCACTGTTAACCATCTCTAGTTCCCATAATATATGCCCCTTACAGACTGTAAATCTTAAGCACATAACATCTTTTGATGCATGAAAGTAATCATATATTGCAAGCTCTAAGATATCTGCGTTAGCAGTAAACATTAGCATGATGTGTAGTTAACATTCTTTGCCAAGTAAATCCATGGTGGTAGTGGATAATTACCAGTAATGACCAACTGGTCCAACAAATCCAAACCCAAACAAGCTTGTTGTCGCCACTCGTTTCCAATTGATATTTAATTCTTTATCCTTTTCCTGATACACGCAAAAAAAAGTTTCATTCTACAAAAAGATATAAGCTGATTAACGCTAAAGTACTCACAAAACAAAAGATGCCTAGAATAGACATAAGGCAGAATGCCGTGTTTCTATTACTGACTTATTTACAACAGTTAAATTATTTACAATTGGTTAACTTTTTTCAACGGGAATAATGGGCGTTGGATCTGGATCTAAGGTAACTCTGCAATCATGCTCCTTCTTGCATTGCAGTTACCTGAAAGTCATGAAGTTGAATGGTGACAGATGCAAAACTGATCCCATCCCATGTAAAAGAAAACCATCTTTTATGCATGTAATCGACAGACAAAAGATGGAAAATTCTTCATGTTTAAGGAAGCATAATCCAAACCAAGAAAAATCAAGTAAATCACCCACATTTCCTACTTATTATTTTTCTCTCTCAACTCTGTGAGTTTGGATTCTAGTTTTCTTTTTAAAAGAAAAAAAATGCAGCTTGTTTGTCCTAAATTTTCAAAAACTGGCAGTGGAAAAGTAAAAGCAACAAGAATCAATAGATAAACCTCAACTACAGAGAAAAATATCAAAACTATACCCAAAGAACAGTGATTATCCGCTTACTTTCCAAAAAGAACCTACCAATCTCATCAGGGGAGGAAAAGAATACGCAGCAATATAAACCAAACCTTGTCTATGACAAAAATGATTCAATGGGATTAAGAAAAATATCAAAATTAACCCTAAAGAAAACAAAACAAACTCAAACAAGGGCAGGAAAAAACTAGAAAGAAATGGAAAAAAATGGAAATGAAAAACTGCCCATTCGTCCACACAGCAAGGATTTCGTCCACACCGCAAGGAAAAGATGGGCGCTTGGAAAAAATAAACGATCGGATATTAAAGTAGGGAAGGTGAGTCCTTGGCTGTACCTGAAGATGATGGTGTTTCTTGGCAGTTGAGTGAGTTATGGTTTGAGCAGCTATATCTCCAAAACCCCAAATCAAGCCTGAGCTTAAAACCTGTGTCTTCACTGGGTGGATTGCCAAGCAATTCTGGTACCATTTCCACAACCTCAACATATCTTTCTTGTACAACAAAACTAACAGGGAGATGAAGTAAAAAGATTCTAGTCTAGATGAAGAATTAGAAATTAAACCAAAAAGGGATGGATATTGAGATGCCTGATCATCATCCTCATGATAATAAAAAACCTCAGATCTAACATTTAGTTACAGTACGTTCTTTTTTTTTCTGGGTAAGAATGAAACCAAAGATTTCTTTTCCTTCGAATTTCTCGTTCCAGGACAAACCCATTTTCAGGAAAGTCAGTTTCAGGCATACGATAAGAGGAAACAAAAAGAATTAGGTTTTTCATTTTATTATTTTTTTTTTTGGCAAGATTAGATGGTTTGAGGGAACTAAGTCTACACTGGGCCAGAAATTGTCAAACCTTTGCTTTCTTTCTTTTCTCTTGACTTTGTTTTGTTTTTGGGTTTTAACTTTGAGCTACTATGATTCCAATCCAGCCCGGCCCGGTTAATCTGGGCCTTTCCCCGGTATAATATTTCTACTTGTTTTATTTGTTAAATTAATAAAACGGCATTTGATTTGGAAAAAATAATTTTTCCTCTTGTAATCTTACTTGTTATAATTTTATTTTTTTTTTATTTGATTGAAAAGAATGTGACTACTAAGTTTTTTAAAATTCTCAATAATGTCAACAAGTGGAAAAGTAAGAATCAAAAATTCTCCTTTCCCTAAGGTTTTTTAAAATTCTAGAAAAAAAATGAAATTTTGTTTTCATTTGCCGCCATTTAATTACATTTGCAAATTATAGTAACAATGTTATTTACTTTGGAAATATAATACTTTTTTATAAAATATTATAAAAATAAATTTTTTAATATATTTTGAAAAAATATAACATTTTTGACGTAGTGTTATTGAAATCTTTACAAAAGCTATGATTAAAAACATAATTTTTGTTAAAAAAATTAAAAATTTTATTTTTTAAAATTTAATAAATATTTTTTAAAGATAAAAAACGTAATCTTTGTTAAAAAATAATATTTTAAAAAATAAAATATATTTTTATTGTAAATATTAAAAAAATATTTTTTAGAATTTAACAAAAATAAGTTTGTAAAATAAAAAATGTCATTTTTAGTGAAAATACGATATTTTTAAGATAAAAATAATTAAATGCTCAATTTAAAATTAAACGTTGAATAATTATTTAATTTAAAATTAAATATTTTAATTTATATAAATAAAACTAAATTATTATCTATTTATAATAATATAAAATTTTCTTTAACAAAAATTGGGATGGATATGATACACGCCATTAAACTTAATAGCCATTATAAATAAATATGACATAGAATTAAATTGCCCCACGTGTAATGATAGGTGGCAAAGGCTTTACTGATCTCACTATTTATTAAAGTTTTCAAATTCTTTATTCGTCGCTTGACCTCAAAAGATCACTTTTCTAATCCCATCTGATGGCTACCATTAACCACAAAAAGAAAACAATCAAAACGTAAATGCACCAGCACCAAAAAAAAAAAAAAAACCTTCGTGAAGGCAGGTGGAATGAATTACGAAAGCAACGAAATCAAGGGAAGGAATCTCAGAACAAGTGAGCAAATCTACTATGGAAAACTGTGGTTTCCTAACTGGAGTGCTCCTCCCCATTTTATTTAGGTTTTCTCTAATTTCACTCTTAAAACTACCCACAAAAAAAGAAAAAAAAAGCTTCCCATTTAAATAAAACGAAAAAGGAAAGCATCCAATTCCTCTAATCCTACTCCTCACCTGAGCAACAACAAAGAAAGAAGTGTTTTTAGAGCTTTGAAATAGTGAAAGGAAAATGGGATCTTAGAGAAAGAGAAAAATGCAAATGACAATTCAAAACAGATTTGCTCTGGGTTTGAGTTTTTTGGTTTTTTTTTTTTTAATTATCAACGATTTTCTTAGAGACGACCGAAGCGTGTTGCAGTGGCCATTTTTTTAAGTCTTGCAATTAATTATTTGGGTTTTCAAACTCCACCAAATTCATCTCATATTCATTTTGTTTATGAGTTTCTTGATTTTGCAATACAAAGAGAAGTGGGTTTTTTTATTTTATAGTGCAAAGAAAGATGGGTTTTTGGTTCAAGCAATTAGTTCTTTGGATCTTCAAGTTTCAATAATTAGTTCTTTTGATTTTGAAGTACAAAGATAAGCAACCTAAACAACATATCCAAAGCATCTACTTCTCCAACACTATCCATTCAGAGACTACGTAGTGCTTATCGCTTCCTTTGTTGCTCATTTTCTGTGGGGCTTTGAATCCGAAACTCTAGGTCTTTAAATTGACTGGAATTTTTTTTCTTTGGTTAGAACAAAAGTTTCAAGGGAAATGTCGATGCTTATAGAAGCGTCTTCAATGTTTTTTGGATTTCGATTTTCACCAACTGATGCTGAATTGATTTTTTACTATTTGAAAAATAAGCTGGATTCTACGAAAAGTGTGTTGAATTTTGAGACTGAAAGTTGTAGACCTGAGTTTAAGTTTAGGTATTACCAGATTTCTAAAGGTATCCAAAAGAGGCTAGAAATTTTAGTCTGATGAAGAGGCTTGATCAAATGAAGAAGCTTGTGGATGAAAAAAAGAAAAGCCACGCATTAAAGTTTTCATGCTATATACCGGCGTGTCTTTCGGTTTTTTTTTTTTTTTTTTTTTTTTTTTTTTTTTTACATTTTCATAAGTTAATAACGTTTAATTTTTATTTGTATAAATTAAAATATTTAATTTTAAATTAAATAATTATTCAAATGATCAATTTTAAATTAGACATTTAATCGATAAAAATGTAATTTTTGTTAAAAACATGAAAAATATATTTTTAAAATTAAAAAAAATAATATTTTTAAATAAAAAATATAATTTTTATTGAAAACATGAAAAATATAATTTTCAAAATTTAATAAAAATGACATTTCTAAGATAAAAATATAAATTTTTTAAAAGGATGATTTTTTTTAAGATAAAAATATAAACTTTACTCAAAATACGAAAAAAATGTAAAACATCTTTATTTAATATTATTACATATAAAATTTATTCAGAGAAAAAATAACGTTAGAATAATAATAAAAATTATAAAATTATATTTATTGAAAATATAAAAAATTACGTTTCAAAATTATTTAATTTCAATAAAAATCACATATTATTCACGTGTTAAATATTATTCACATATAAGTATTATGAATATTATATATTATTCATATGTTATAAAAAATAATGTAATAAAAAATTTTATTAAATTATCTTATATTTAAAAAAATCGAATACAAAAATTTTATATTTTTTAACTCAATAAAATTCAAGAATTACATTTTTTTTAAATATCACTTTTATCTTCAATTTTAAGATTTGAATAACCAAACGCTCTCTAAAAATAATGTGGCCATGGCAGAGGTAAAAACCCTTTGCCTTTGTGGCTGCTCCTTGTTTGGTTTCCTAAAATTCAGATAAGTAATTTCCATGTCTCCTTTCGTACATCTTCGTTTTTGTTTTTTTTTTTCTCATCTTTCTTCTTCGTCTGTTCTTTTATGGTGGCTTTCTCAACTTCTTAACTACAAAACCACTGCTCAGACCTAGTTGTTTTTCAGCAAAGATAGGAATATCAGCAGCCAAGATCTTGGACAAGAGATTTGAGGATTTGAAGGAGATGTGGATTAAGAGTAAGGATGTCATCGGGTCGGGTTCAGAGTGGGTTTTGCTCGCCCCGAATCCGATCCGATTTTATGCTTATTAAATTCGAATCCGATTCGATCTAAATTTTTTTAATACTTGAATCCGATTCGATCCGACACTATATAAATCGTATCCGATCTGATTCGATCCGAAATTAATAAAATATTATTTTTTAAAATATAAAATATTATTTTTTAAATATAAATATTTAAAAATATCATTATATAAATATATATATAAATAATTAATTAATTAATTAAAAAATAATTTTTTAATAATATCGGATCGAGTAAAATCGAATTTTAAGCATATCCGAACCCGATCTGATCCCGATCGTTACTTAATTTATCCGATTTGACCCCAACTCGAAACCTAAAATTAAAAAAAAAAAACTCGATCTTATAAGATCGGGTTGGGCCGAAACCCGATCAAGCCCGTCCCTAATTGAGAGGAGCGCTCGAAGGAGAGAAAAGATACAATGGTGGCATAGGCAAGTAAAAGTTTCTTTGACAGGGAAGAAAGAAAAAGAAATGTCTATAAATGAAAAGATAGCTGTTATTTGTGAAAATCGAAAAAAAAATTTTCATTAAAAGGCACTCTTCATTTCGATTTTAATTTTAATAATTAAATCAAAATTTGATAATTTTTAATATTAAAATTTCTATAAAAATTATTAATTTTGGGGACACTAGATTTATGAAGTTTATAAAAATGCCCGCAATTGCTTGTTTTTATTTATATTTTATTGACCAAATGAAACTACTGCCTTCTTATAGCCGTATTCAAGACGAGTGACAGAGATTGCTCCCTCACGTCACAAACCATTCTTATAGCGGTGGCAGAAACATGGTTCAAAATAAATATAAATAAATAAATAAGCATTAACACATGTGCCACTACAGCGTCGTCTTTATATTGAAAAACATAATGATTACTCTTCTGAATAAAAATCCGCACATAAGTATAGACTAAACCATTTTAATAATTACTCAGTGAATTGATCCAATTAATAAAAAATTTGATAATAAAATCTTGATCTTAAATTTTATATTTTATGAATGAAAAAAAAATTATTTTTTAAAATTTAATTCGATTTAATTTTAAATTAATTGAAATTTAAAATAATTATAAATATCAAAAAATTTCAGACAAAAGAAAATTACTCAGTGGGCCACGTCTGGGATTGGTAATATTAACTATCATCATGCCATCTATAAAAGCTATGGCACATACTCACTACTGCTAATGGTTTGAAGACTTACACTTCGAGAATATTTTCTCAGAAAAGACAAATATCACGTCATCTTCCGTACATGTCAGCTGGCGTGAGTTGTCACATGTACTACATGATGTGATAGACGATTTCACGTATAAAAAGATCAAAACGATATGCGTTTTTTGCGATTGAGGACCACTATGTTACGGTCTGTAAATTCGGAACCCTAATAATAATTTACCCGAAATTTA